AAACGCCACAGGAATTGTACCGTCGATATTGCAGGTGGTAGACGCTGCACGTGGACTTTCTGTCCCCGAGGTCTGCCGCAAGCTGCATGTCATGTTTAGTTCATGCAGATATTGGCGCGGTTCAGAATACGCAAATGTTGGCCCTCAGCATCACAAACGAGTGATAAAAAAAACACAGCTGTATAATACAGTTTACTTTACTGCTTTTTTCTGGTGCGTCTTTTGTCCAATCATGCGGAATTGAAGACTTTTCAATTTGACAAACTCGGGGACCTATATTGCAATCTCACATTATTTTGTCCAGCTATTTCACATTCTCTAATTACGCGAAACCTAGTGTTTAGAAAGTTGAGTAATTTCCCCCCGATAGAGCCTTTGTCAAATTAGAATTTCACACGACTCTTATAGCGTTATTAGTCGGTCAGAGATCTGAAGCAGTCCTGATTGCCATAGTTTTATTGATTTCGGGTTCACATTAAGGCTATTCAACGTTCATCTGTAACTTGGGCATATTAATAGCCAGTCAGATTGGCAATAATTTCATAAATAAAAAAGGCAATATTATCATTTCATAGTAAGCATTGCAATATTTAGTTTAGAAAACTAAATAATGGAGGTCTCACATGGTGATAGATATGTGTGCATTTTTATTTTATTTCCTTGCTTAGATTGAGGAAATTTTATTCATGGAAATAAAAATAACACAAGACAAAATGTCATTCTGAAGATAAATCTCTGGTGTTAATCGAGTACATAGACTATATAGAAATGTAGTCAGGTGATAGGGCAATGTGAACAGTGTTTTGTATTCTTGAATTAATCCATAATATTGGCGAACATTTACCGTATCCATGGAGCTAATGTTAGATCCTGGTGCCGATTGCACGATCAGTTCAACATAAGGAAGTTCCCATTAAGTACAACAGAGTGTTTGTCTATTGACTTTGTTGACATTTGTTTAGAGGAGGGGCTACGAGAACGAATTGAGTTACATTGGTGTCTTATTTCAAAGCACTCACATTCACTATTTCATTTACTAATTTGTTGAATGTCGATACCAGATAATACCTTAGCTGTTTTGTCGCCTCTATCCTGTTGAACAGATATGTTGCAATGATACAAGGCATTTACAATTTATTCAAGCGAAATAATGTATGCGTTTATCAGTTAATTCTGTTCATTGTTTTTAGTACACTCCGTTGCCTCCCAGTGTTTGACATCCGGGCATAAAATAAAAACACTGGCAAGTTACAAAGAGACCCTTCACCTCCGATCTGTTGTGTAGTACGTCAGCCTTTGTGTTAAGATTGTCAGGGACAATCATACGATTGTTAAGATAAAGGATTATAATTTAATTTGCATATTTTATTCATGTTGGTCACAGTCCACATGGACAATGCTATCAATTACAAGTTCAATGCAATTACTTGATCGTGGATTGGTCTGCCCTGTTTCATCATGCATCAAAATGTTATATATCTAAATTTATTGTTTAAGAGATGGTACTCATAAGTGTGGAGACATCATCCAACACAATAACCTCAAAATCGTGGAAGGATTTTTTTCGAGCGCTACTGTAGACTTTGAATTGAATAGAAAATTACACATGAAACAGATAACTGATATAGCTCCAAATGTCGAAAACGATAAAATATATTCCAAAGAATTCTACAAACTGACCGTAATTCTTGAAAAGGTGTTCGCTGTAACTACATCATAAAGCGTTGCACCATGCTGTCCTGAGACATTGACACGTGCATAAAAAAATAAGAAAATATCAACATGTCTACATAATAAAAATAAAAAATGAAATTCAACAAAATCAGGGCAAAATATGAGCAATAGAAATATTTTACACGGATACTCCTAAATAACAAAACAAAATAATAATAATAAGACCAGGTGTTCCGGAAGCGTAAGCGTTTTCCGATTCATCGATGACACCCTCAATGTAAGTCTTTATGTTAAGTAAATAAATGGAATTGATGGGCGATATTACAGATTTACTTCTAATATCAATATAGCAGGCGCGTTCACCAAACGTCAGACAAGTTTCTGATCGCTCATCCACTTCATTTGATGGGAAGCAGAAATGACATACTGAAGAGACCACTAAAGTTAAACCTCCAGAAATCATAACAGTGAATATCAACTTAAAATGTCAATTTTTAACTCGGTAGCATATATATCATGTGTAAGTATGTAGAAAATACCAACATGTCATTATAATCATAAACCTAATTATAATTCAATGAAGTGGGACAAAATATGAACAAAATAAAAGAAAAATTACGCGCAGACTCCTTAAAAGTACAAGGAGAATAATACTGGTTGTTTCGAAAGAGTAAGCGTCTTCTGCTTCATCGACGAATGGTCAACCCACGTATGTATTCGAAGATTCGAATGGGAAGTTCCAAAAACACCAAAATGTTTTGCTATTCCGTTGTGTTAGCTTAATTGAAATACGTTATATTTCTTTTTGGGGGTTATACCGCAGGGAACGCCATTTACGAAGAATGTATATATAAAGACATCTGTCTGGAAAGGGTGACTCCATTTATCAACGTAGCGATAAAACCTGTTTTCACTTCTGGTATGTTCCGGTGTCTTATATCACACAAGTCATAGAAAATGGATTGTCGTCTCATTCCTTTATAATGACGCTCATGTTCACTTTATTAAGTAAAACAGTAGAACATCGTGTGATTTTGTGTTGCTTTTTCTTTACATAAGATACATATTTGCACAAAACATGTTTAGGATCTGCCGTCCGGAACACTTTTTATTATATCTCATAATACAGCCTACCACCGATCTTATCTTTATTGTAACAGAATGATATGCCAATTCATTTTAAGTAAGATTGTCTGTTGGTTCCGTTGTTAAATACTTTGTTTCGATTTGAGAATTTGACATTTCTTAGTCGGAGTGACCAAGATTTGCATGAAAGGTGTCGTCGATGAAGCAAAAGACGCTTACTCCTCCGGAGCACATGGTCTTATTCTTCTTGTACTTTTTCAGGAGTCTCTGTGTAAGTCTTTCTTTTGTTCATATCTTTACCCTATTTTGATTGAATTAAAGTTTGAATTACAATCATGTTAATATGTTGGTATTTTCTATTTTCTTATTTTTCTTGCTTATTTTTGGGTTTTTTTCAGTATCATGGACATGGTTATAGACCACAGTCTATAACTATATCGTCCAGACACAAACGTGTTTTATGCTATAGTTTTGTCGTGCACGCGATGTCCGACCGATATTGTGATGCGCTGTTCCTTACGGTTGTAAAACGTTGTTTATAAAAGCTTTGGCTTTTCTTATTAAATAAAACTCAACATCATTAATTTACGGTGTAGAGCCAGCTGTTAACTTAACTTATTACTACAATTATTGAAATCTTTATGACTGCACCCTGCTTTATTAGCATTAGCAATATGTATAGATCCCACTGGTTTGGTTCTGAGATAACCAGATTTAATTTTCATCGGAATTGTAAAACAATTCAAGGCGATTTGCCCCTTCATCAAAACACATAAAACATGAAACAAAGACAAGGACACAAAAGTTTGATCCAGAATGTTAAAGTGTCCCTATAATACACTATGTAATGTTACTTTTGTATTATTTTGTGTTTCAACTAAGACGCTGACTGTCTCGAAAATTTAATATATTTTTGTTCGTTCTATCATTATAACTTATTTATTGTAAATGTGTTCCAGTAATATACACCCAACAAACACTTGTTAGGATCCATTACCAATATTGGACAATACCGTCGATATCACTTACTAGATTCTAGATCATGGCTGTATATGTCAACAAATGTGTGGGTGTGACAAGCAATTATCAGTGCAAAAAGGCCACAATACTTCCATCGGATAACTATCATTATGGCGAGACATTGTGGGTGTTCATGCTAAACAACTTCATGTTATGTTTACTGGCGTCTATAAATTGTGAGATTGGATTGTCTAGTTGTTACAACGTAAGGAATGTTCAATGCCGAAAAATCGATATAAATTCCGTTTTAATATTTTTCATATTACCATTTTTCGATTATAATCCCATGACAATTTTCGTGTGAAACATGGCTATAAAATCATGTTCATATGCTATTCGAATACTTCACTAATATTGACCTCGATAGGTAGGTTTGTTGCTTCTGAACTCTCATGAGGTAAATATAAAGACATCGCACCATTATATATATACCACAAATATATACACACCCTCAAACACACAATCATAAGGACCAATCATGAGGTAGCGTATACATTTCATACACGCTAAACATCTCAAATAATCACAAAATTGCAAGTGGATCGATTAACTAGCCAGGTATTTTAAATCAATTTGTAAACAAATACAGCTCAAGTGTTACGGGTAGGCGTACTGAGTGAGTATCGTGTGTGTTACACTACCTGTAAGCACTGAAGCCTGGCGAAGGTAATTATACCAGAGACAACTCATGTATAAAAAATGACAAGGCTTAACGAAGCGACGTGTTGACACTTTAGGTGATGTTAATTGGAAGTAACACAGTAAACGAGGTAGTGTTTGTGTTTGGTACTGCTACCTCTCTAATTAGTAACTACATGTAAGCTTGCCATCTGTTTGTAAATGTATATCTTTCAACATAGAGTTAGTTCATATTGCACAAATGAATACAATTTTGACATTTACATCGAGGCATAATGCTGCAACCGCAAATGTTAATTAGTTCTTTATGCTATATACGTCAATCGCTTGTTTATACATCCAATCTACGACCTACGTGACACCGTGTCTTAACGAGCCAAAACTTGCCACTTAATTAACTATGATTAATGACTTGGGTCGATGACTAATTCGATCCAGTTATAGTGCTACCTAACAGCCAGGATATATTAGATCGAAATTTAAAAGCTTCAACTGTGCTGCACACAAGAATAAACTTTTGGACAAAATAAGAACAGTTAAATATCAAAAGCATTTGATTTCACTAGAGAATAGGACCTTACCATTTCCACGCCATATTTATCGTCCATGTCCGGCGATAGGCAGTGCCCCTATCCTGGAGACGACGCTGTCACAATATGTCCTCTCTATATACCGTTAAACAATAGGTGTACAGCTAGGTTATCTCCTGGCACACGTTTATATGTTATTGGTAAACCCAATCGTTACCCGACTAGGTTATAGTACACGGCTGTTCATTGGTTATTGGAAACATAGTCTTATTGTCTTATGTTACATAGTCATCGAATGGCTTGTTTATTAATGAGACTGTTTTCTATCTACTAAGTGTTTAGAGGGTATGTATTGACATAACAGTTACAATATCAATATGTCTTTCCCTGTTGCTTGTTAGTGAAAACTCTCTTATTCAGAGGTATGCATTCAGCAATGGGAGACGGTAGATAACGTAATCTAACAATGAAAAAGGTCATGATTTCTACGAACAATAAACACACAAGGCGAATCAATCTAAAAATAACTTTTACTTCCGATTTTTAATTTTTTTTTTTATTTTTCGGTTTCAGATTTTTAACTTATGAACTTTAATGGTGATATTTCCCATCTCAGTTTGAGGAAAGAGAAATTGAATTTGAATTTAATGAACGCTTTAGTTCTGATTTTGATATCATTAAACAGGTTTTGTCGGTCGATATTGGTCTTGGTCGGTGTAGTTAAATTACTAATTGACCTCATTAATACGCTGTAAATGTATGATATTGGTGGATGATATCAGTAGATATTGCTAAACTCACATACGGAGGCTACAACAATTTATTGAGAGATTTTTAAATGTCTGATGTTGTCAGTTCAAATCATGGTTATATTGATATATCACCTAATACTTGTCATGATGTCAATATTTGTTACTTCCATGATGTATTATAATGGTCTTACTAGAATTATTCAATACTTAGTGTGACTCGTAAGCCTTTTGTTGTTTCCATTGCTCTCATGGAATGTGACATTGACAAAACAATTATATTTCGGGTGTTGTCGACATAGCAGAAGACGATAACATGTAAGTGTGCTCGTGCTTATATATATATATATATATATATATATATATATATAGATCAATGAAGTAATAACGGCATTACGAGGCAACCTGCCTCTTTATCAAGAAACAAACATAACATATTTTATATCTTGATAAAGGGGCAGGTAACCTTGAAAATTTAACAGTTCGCTTGCCCATACTGTCGTTATTACTTCATTGATTGTATATCTATTCCAGTAATACACATCCAACGAACATTTGTTTATCGGGATTCAGTACTTATATTAGATCATACCGTCGATATTACTTACTAGATTATCTATATATATATCTTAATTTTGCCAGACACAGGAAGGCATTTTGGACAGCTTTTATGTGAGATCTTATTTTCATTGCACTGGTTTTTCGTTTAATCTGCGTTTTTTTTTTATAATTTAAGCGAGTGTAGGTGAAGTTGAGGTGAGAACTGATTTCCTACTTTAGCATAAGAACAGTTTCATGAAAATGTGTTTATAGCTTATGAATTTGTTCCTGGTCATAACGAGCCTTTTCTACGGATTGCAATAATGAATTAGACTGTTTTGAAGTAACGATTATTAAATATAGAAGTATTAGAATTAACAAGCGATGTCTACGATTTCCAGTCAGCGAATTTTCTTTTACTTTGACAAGACGTGGTCAAAAGACAAAGAACAAGGGGACATTTGAAAAAAACTTTTTCCACAGCATAGTAAATTAGATATCAGAAAAAAATTAGTCTGCGAGCAGCCAAAATTTGGAACAACCTACCGGAACAAATGATCTCAGCGCCAACAAGAAATTCCTCAAAAAAAACAGATTGGATAAGCATTGGGAAAGATCAAGAACTTTTATATAATTACAAGGCCGAAATTTAATAGGAACTGAAACTGATGTCATAACTGATTTACATTATTTATTCTTATAATGTGTTGTTACTATTGGGTATTTGAGACCGTTGTATAGGATCTTAGATGACCCTGTACTGGAAATAAACTTAACTTAATTCATATTGAAATTATCAAGGCTCAAGTCAACCCGAACTCAAAGACTGTTCATATTCATTTTCTTCAATTTACATCAAACCAAATTTCTTGTAAGTGAGAAACTTTAATTTCCCATCTCTAGATAGTGGCATCTTGCTTCCCGAGACATGGAGTTGATATGTCGCCTTTTAATGTAAACGTAAGAGTTGGTTTTTAATACATTTGTATCTAAATATCCGTAATATATAGATGACGAGGACCACCGATAGCATAGAATCTCGACAGCAAGATATTTAGATACTGAATCTGGAGCCTTTACTTTTACCAATTACCATATTGAATTGAATATCTTTGATATCGCCTACTAAAGTTCAATTTTAAAGCCTTAGATATCAGTAACGAATCCTAGAATAATGATATATCGAAACTGCAGCAAGATACGGTTTAATTTTTTATTTGACTCTACTGGGGCAAGTTTTTAAATTGAAGATATCTAATCACTTTGGTATTTTGTACAATTCTCTATGCCTTTTATCATATTTGTTGGTCACTTAACTTAATTTCGGTTTTTACTTAAACTTTAATGCTCCGTAGACGCTTCAGACATTCTCACGTCTACACAGCGTGTATGACGCTAGAAAGACAAACGTGAATTTTCTTTTTCTATTTCAACACACAGTAGCTATTTCGATCCGATCTTTGACAATCTTATATAGTGTTACAGATTTTCGTTGCATATAATTCATCTCATTAAACATCTGCCATCCTACATATCGACGTATCGAAAATAAGTCATGTTATATTGAGGTTGACTTTCGATGATAATTGAAGACAGCTTATCACTTTTTGTTTTTTGTTGTTTTCAATTGTTTTGAAGTCAAATATCAATAAATCATTATTGAAATTACTTTTGATAACTTATCAACTGCACAAATAGTGCAGCAAAATTAAAACCAAGTAGAAATTTGCAGAATGGTCTAAGCTGAGGAGGATTACATTTCAAATTAGTACCTACATTCACATGTTATTAAAGATGACAGATAAGCATTGTTTTCTTCTGTTACTCATCGGTAATACATTATTTTAAACATACAGGTTAAAAGATCCACAGTACGTCAACAAGGTGAACATATTTATCTCCCTTTGATCGAAAAACAATTGTAGATAAAATTGAAGATCGTTCGATGCTGACGGATCACCCCACATTGGACAAAGTACACTAGTGTTAAGCAAGGGGCAACCAAAGGGAAATTTCAAAATATATTTAATATGAAAATAAATACACATCCTCATAATCTTTTTGAACTGAAAATGTAATTATAGACTTAACACATAACCATATTGTTTTTACTTTGGGATTAAATGTAAAAGGTTTTAATGTGTTTAATTTTCTAATTTTACACATTCACCCCCTTTTGTGTCCCCAACACATTTTACACACTTATTAGAGATCAGCTGGTTTTGTAATATTTCAAACATGTTGAATATTTACAGGTTCGACACATGTCCAGCTACAAGAGACGTAAGTTATGCTTCGTTAAAATCATTTATGTTAATTTTCACATCGGTATAATTCATGATAAATTTTAAAACTTAATTTTTTATTCAAAACATATCAGTGGAGCTTGTAAAATATAGATCTACATGAAGCTTTGTTAAACAAACTACGATCACAAATATACGTACATTTATTACTTTTTAAAACTTGAAGAAGAAGAAGAATTATATTTAACTTGAAAAAATAGTTTAAATACTTTTAAAGGCGGAATTAATTTGTTGTATATTATACAACAGAAAAAACAATCCACATAAACATTATTAGATAATATTGAGTTACACTCGTGGCAGGATCATCTGTAATTTTAAAAAAACATAGCTAATGGTAATCCAATATAATAGTACTCATAACTAGCCAAGTTCTATCAAAAATGAAAACTAAGAAAATACATCATCATGTCGATAATGATATTAATACCATAGAACATATTTCATTTATTGTGATATGAGTTAGACATCTCTAATTCAACACCATAAGGAGATTTAAAATTTATACGATTTCGAATCATCACCTTGCACAAACATCATCAAAAATTATCATCTGGAAAAACAAAATTTATTCCATGCAAGTTATTGAAATTATATGATAAAATATCCTATATTTCATGCAATACGTTTAATGTAATATATGTAATTTTCACATTATATTTTAAAATTGCAACTTAATTACTTTGTAACAAAATGAGCGATTATAAGTAAATAATGGTAACATGGAAATGGTGGACATCATAGAGAGCAGAGTTTAGGTCAAAAGTCGGGTAACGTTGGACCGAGATAAACAACCTGGTGAGGGATCCTTATAACAGGATGGGTGTGTACCCCAGTGTGAAGCACCGTGGATAGATACCAAATAGATGTTCTCTCTCTTTGGTCCAGTTCGTGTGAAAGCAAGCATCATAAGGACCAGTACCGAAGTAGATACTTGGAGTCGACAGTGGTTATGACGAACGCGCCTAATTAATGAAATGTCCAAAGGAACGTTGCAAATAGAGCGTAGTGATATTAAAACACTACAGAGAGTGTGAAAAGGCAGCGACCAGGGGTAAACAAGAGAAGACAATAGGTAGAGGAAGTGGAAGTGTAAACTGGATGGCAGTTTACTGTACAGACAATGTAACAACGCGAAAAAAATGGTTAATGGCCAATCAAACATCACGTGACGTGTCGTGTTCTTGAGTAACACACGGTGATGCAAAAAGTTGTTTATTTTCCCCCTAAAATTTGGTTACAGCTTTCGCCTTGTGCAATGCAAAATTGTAATTACCTTTCAAAATGTCGATAATTAATGGTGTAATTCAGTATGAATTCGAGGGTTTTGCACAGAAAGGAGGAATAAGTGGAGTTAGATTGCCTTACATCTTTTATAACACATACTTTAATTGTATGTCTTTTCTAGAATCTTTAAAATAGCTGGCGGTAGACACTGCTGGTGAACATTAGGTCCCCAAGGTTTGTCGTAACCAGTATGCCA